ATGAATTGCTGCACCTTTACAATTTTCCTTGTTTCATTAATTAATGCCTTAAAAGCCAGTGGTAGGTGACACCCTCCTCTGAGTTGTCGCATTTTCCAAGTTGGACAATTAAGTTGGGATTTCATGCTGTGCTGCGCAGAAGAAGTGGAAGGCAAAAGGAGCTTTTTGCCTCATTCTGAGCTGCTCTACGGGCCAAAAGGTGCTCAGTGAATTGCTGTAATATATGGCAGCCTCCTGCTGCTGCTTGTGGGCTGCTCTGTAGCGTGGAACAATCTAGAATCACCACAGTGGTATGCACTATAGAGACCTCTTGTCCCTGGCTCTACCGCCAATATGCCCGCTGCAGCAGGGCTTGTAATGGAGGGGCAGCATAGGGCTACAGTGACCCTATGTAGGACCTGCGCCAGGGAAATGCTTCTCTGGTTCCTTGGGGGCTGTTTACAGCCCCTATGCAGCAACAATGACATGGTGGCCTATAGAGACTGCAGTGGGGTGAGAATCTCACCTCCAGTGCTGCAAGGTTCATTTCCAATTTAAGATCAGAACATGACATTTGAGGAAGATTCCAGCTTGTTCCTGTGTTTCAGAGGCATTACGAGGCAATGAGGGGTATACGATGTGGTACCTTTTAAGGGCCATGTTCTCAAAGGTGCCTCACCCTAGTCTTTGTTAGTGTGCATTATCACTTGTGCAGTCATGTAGAATTTACATGTCCCAGGACCCATTTATGGATGCAAAGAGAACACAAATGTGTTTACGTGCATAAGTTCAACCAAGTGAGTGCACAAGTGATAGTACACAAAACATGTGTTCCCACGAATGTGCAAAACTTGTATGCACAAAGTAGCGTGCACATAAATGGAGGCCAGATTTTGAGAATTGTATCCTAAATGTCGTTCAATTTTCCCAAGAAGCTTGTTTTCATCCATAGACATGAAAAAAGTGCCATGTTTTGTAATGAATGGGTGAATTTATGTAATATTTTCAAATTATCTGGGGTGATGGGAGGGTTGTTTTCCTTTGATCATGGGGAAGTTTTAGATAATCTATAGCAGCTTGCAGATAAGGATCTCAGTACACTTTGTAAATATCGGTAAACTGAGGCACAGAGAGGTTAAGGCCCATCTCCTCAATGGTATTTAGGTGCCTAATTTCCATCATTTTCAATGACAGTTAGGTCCCAAAATACCCTTGAGAAACTAAGCCTAAGATGATCACAGTGAGAAAGTGTCTTGGAGGAGAAGAACTCCGAGCAGGTTTTCCGACATCCTGTCCCAGGCTCTAATTACTTGTATTATGTTAATAGAGGCTCCTTACAAAATCCTGCTGACAACAAGATTAAATTCTTTTTTACTGTTCATTACAGATGTGCATCTACTAGTTACAGTCTATGGTAGGGCACAGCCACAATAGATTTATTTAAAATATATAAATGAACTCACCCATTGTCTCCTAAATGCATGGGAGCTTCTGAATGCAATATTAATACATTAGTTATAAGCCTGACTTCAGGGTAAGAGAAAATTAAATCTGTTAATCAAGGAGTGTTTTTACCTCCCTGAAGGAAACTGCTGTTGTCACAAGGGTATCATACTACCTGGAGAAGGCTTTTAGCAATTTGGCAAACAAAATCATACAAGTTTTACATTTCTCTGTTTTCTGCAAAGTTTATCTTTTTGCAAAATGATTTGACATTTATAGTTAGGGCCCTACCAAATTCACAGCTATGAAAAACACGTCATGTACCGTGAAATCTGGTTTCCGCCCATGAAATCTGGTCTTTTGTGTGTTTTTACTCTATACTATACAGATTTCACGGGGGAGACCAGGATTTCTCAAATTGGGGGTCCTGACCCAAAAAGAAGTTGAAGGGGGGGTCACAAGGTTATTTTAGGGGGGTTGCAGCATTGTCACCTTACTTCTGTGCTGCCTTCATAGCAGTTTGGCCAGAAAGCAGCGGCTGTTGGCTGGGCACCCAGCTCTGAAGGCAGCACCTCACCAGTACCAGCGCAGAAGTTAGGGTGGCAATACCATAACATGCCACTGTTACTTCTGCACTGCTGCCTTCAGAGCTGGGCGGCTGGAGAGTGGTGGCTGCTGACTGAGGTCCCAGCTCTGCAGGCAGCAGCATAGAATACCATACTATGCCATCCTTACTTTTGTGTTGCTGCTGACAGCAGCTCTGCCTTCAGAGCTGGGCTCCTAGCCAGCAGCCGCCGCTCACCATTGCCCAGTTCTGAAGGCAGGGCTGCTGCAGCAGCAGCGCAGAAATAAGGGCAGCAGTACCACAACCCTCCTACAATAACCTTGTGTGACCCCCCCCCCAACTCCTTTTCGAGTCAGGACTCCTAGAATTACAACACTGTGAAATTTCAGATTTAAATAGCTGAAATCATGAAATTTACTATTTTAAAAATCCTATGACCGTGAAATTGACCAAAATGGACTGTGAATTTGGTAGGGCCCAATTTATAGTTTAATTTGATAAAATTACAGCATTGATTGCACAACCCTAAATGTTTTTAGTTGATTTTTTTTTCTTTTTTTACACTTGGGTCCACCTTTAGTACTTCAATAGTAATAAACAGAAATGTAAGGTATTATTATTAATTATTCAGAACCACTTTCACTTGGGCGCAAACATTTACAAACATTAAGTCCCTCAATGTCTCCAGGAGGCACTGTGGTTGCTGTTAAAACTCAATTTACTCTATCACAGCATCTGAGATCCCTCAGTTATTGTAAATGTAGGAAAATTCTGTAGCATCTCAGCTAGCCTGGGTGATATTTGGTAAATGTTGATTTTTTTTTTTAGGTCTCGATTAATCAAACTATCCTTATTCAGCAAAGCATTGAAACATGTTTAACTTGAAGCAGGTGCTTTACTGAAGTAGGGCCTTCCTGGGAACAACATAGATAGATAGTAGTAGCTCCATTTTGCAGATGAGGAAGTTGAGACAGAGGGACGTGAAGTGACTTGTCCTAGGGACGCATGAGTCAGTGGCAGCTCTAGAATTAGAACACTGGTATGCCTGGCTTCTAGTCAGCGTCAAACAGCAATTTAATGCTAAAGCTGAGAAATATAATCCAGGAAGGCTAATTTGTAGTCCTTTCCTCTGATATTAGGCCGCCCCCACTGAATTATTATCATAGTATTTTGCAGCTGCTCCTGAGAAAGGATATTTTGCTGCATACAGTATTTTAAAGGAGAGATTTTGGTATCCTACTCTCACTCAATGTCATAACAATACATTGATATTTGAATCTAGAAAGAACCAAGATGCTTAACTGTAAATTACTGTAACCCTATTAACTTCATTGTGGCTATGCTGATTTCCACCAGCAAGTCTATATTTCTTGGTCAAAATCTAATCTCTTCTAAAGAAGTAACTTTTCGATGAAATGTAAACAGGGTTACTCTAAGTGTTACTACACTGACATAAGGTAAACTTTAACCACAATTCATTAAAAATTATAAATGTTTAGTAGAATGTGTTTTTAAACTGCTCCATGTGGATGGTTTAAATAAGGATCTGACCATAAGATAAAGGCCATTAAAGCGTTGTCATTTTGATTTGAAAAAAGCTTCCTAAAGGTCATAAAAAGGAGCATCAAAGTTAAAACTACATTTTGTCTGATACACAAGCTGAAGGAAGCTTCCCAACTAAAATATCTCTAATACTATGTTCCATTCCTAGTGTATATTTTCACAAATAGTTTCTTGTTTTATATATTTGATTTGCATCCAAAATGCTGACACAGCTCCACTTGGGTTTTTCAGTCTTACAACATTTATGCAGGCAGTACAACAGCAGCATGCTTCATTGCCAGAGTGTCATTTGAGTTCTTTTTTTTTAATTCTCCCGACTTTCTAAAGAAGAATGTTTAAGTGGTATTTCATTGTTCAGCGTGTGGACCTCCAAGAACAAATAACTTTACCAACAAAATAATTCTTATTCAGTTATTGCATTGGACTGCTTCAAATTGTCTTTCTAAAGCTACACAAATAGTGAGCCCTGCACTGCACTTAAAGAAACTATCTAAAATGTGGAATATACTCATTTTTTTATGATAAAAAGGAAAAGAAATTGAAGATATATTATTTTGTCTGGGTGGGGTGAGCAAGACTCCTCCTCCTTTCAATAAGGGGTTCTTCATAATTGTATTAAGTTCATTTATATTAAATGCATGCATGTGTGGGCACACACATGAATTCACTTGAATTAGTTAATATATAATGTAGTTCTTGGAATGTGCGGAGGGTTTTTAAAGGGTTTTGTTTATTGTTGTTATTTAAAAAGAAAGCTCATAAATCAGTCCTGGTAGTATTAATTATGATTCAAAGCTATCTGCTCTTGTAATAGAAAACTGTTCTGCTTTCCCATTCCCTGGGTGATAATTTTATCCCATTTTTACCTTACCTAGGCAGATTTTAACACTGAATTGCTGAGACCTCTTAATTATCAAAGGGTTGACATCGTGCCATACCCAAATCCTACTCCTGCTTCTGCATCCCTTTCAGATTTGTCTGGATTACCATTTGTGGACCTGTTTTAACTCCAGATAATTGACAGTTAATTCAAGTTCACTAAGGGCTTGTCAACACGGAACGGCAAAGTGCTCTAAAGGGGTGTGATTTGTAAAGTGCTCTCACTGCCCCATGTAAACCCTGCCAGCACGCTGTACAAGGTACCTAGTTTGCATTAACCTAGGTCCCTTTTAGAGCTCGCCAACAGGGTCTGTGTGGGGGCAGTTAGAGTGCTTTACAAATCACACCCCTCTCGAGTGCTTTGTCACATCGTGTAGACAAGCCTTTAAAGGACTGTAAATGCTCGTCTACACCTAGCAAACATATTTCAGGGACACAAACATTTGTGGAGTGTCTAGACTAGCATTTATTGTTGGTTAATTTGCATTGATTCACAACAGGACTTAAAACAAGACCCTGGAATGCAGATTTAAAAGAATTTATCTAACTACAAACTCTTACTTCATTCCAGAGATCCCCGAAGATCCACAAGTTGCAGAAGAATATTATAACGATGTGTTTGAGTCTTGTTCGGAAACAAGTGAAGAGGAGGAGGAAAATATGGAAGTATCACAGACTGTCTCTAAAACAAATCAGCAGGTATACATGCTTCTTTGTGTTAACAGCATATGTGCAGGTGCTAATTTTTCCAATTAAAATAGCAAATAGTAAAATACCAAAGTGTCTAATCCTGAGAGGTTGAGCAGCTGACTTTGAGAACTATGGGTGTTCGGTGCCTCTTGAAATCATTGGCGGCGGGGTGAGTGAGTGAGTGAGAGACTCCTGCATCACTTCAGCATTGGGGTAAAATTTCCAAAGGTGTCTTAGTGACTTAGGAGCTTGAGAGTAAAATTTTCAAAAATGACATGGGCACTTAGGAGCCCATTAAAAGCTAATGGGCTGTAGACTCCTAAATGCCTAAGTCACTTCTGAAAGTGGGTTTTAGCTTCCTGAGTCACTTAGGAGCTTCTGAAAATTTTACCCTAGACCTTCAACCTATATGTTGTATGCATTTTAATTGTACTATCTCTTTCTAATTTCAGTTGCAAGCTCTTGATGGGACTGTGACTTTTTACATTTTTATGGAACCAAACCTACTGCTACTGCTAAACAAATTATAAATAACTTCTAACTAGATGATTGCCCCAAACTGTAGTTTTTCTTCTTAAGGCACAAATAAGGTTGCTTGCTATTTTGTGTAGGGAAGTATAACTGCCTTTCTAACACTGTGTTAGGGAATCAGGAATCTATGCCATCAGTTAAACTGGGCTTAAAATGTACGCAAAAACAGTTTCACTTCTGATCTGGAAATGTCCAGGTATTAAACATAAACCAAGATACCGTTCAGACTGAACACAAAAGAAGGTGATCGGGTTTCAATTGTGTTTTGCTGCAGAAATTGTCTTAAAAAAAGAAATTGTCGTAAAAAAAGCTTACTCTTAAGACTGTGAAAACAGCACTTGATCAGCTAGATATGTCCCTTCAAAAATATGAAGCTCCTTCCCACATTGTTTTTACTACAGATGTATGAACATTCAGAAGCAGTATGTATATCCTGCTAAAGCTGCTGGGCAGTGATTTTACAAAGTAATAATTAGTCAATCAAAAATAGTGGAATATGTCAGGGAATGCTTTTGATGTGATTGTTCAGGATCTGTAGTCTGCGGGGGCTACGTAGACTGAATCTAACAGTGGTGCATAAGCCACTCAGCCACTTGAAAAATCTATCATAATGTACTTCCAAAAATACACTATTGCTCACTTTCATCAGCCCTTATTGTATTTTTCTTCTTAGCGCTATGGTTTAAGTTTTCATTTGACTTTCATCCACCATGTCAGAGAGTTCTATCATAAAGTGTCAGTCAGTAGTGGTTTTGAACATGAAGACGGCTCCTTAGAATTAACAAAAGACAGCAGATATAAATAGAGTTCTTAATAATGCAGAGTAAATTAGGTATTGGCAGTCAGATTTAGGCAGAGTGACATTTAATCATTTCTTAGTGATTCACAATTCAATGACAACAAGAGCTAGTAGTGGGGGTTGGGAGAAATGTTTAATTGACATCCCTTGTCAGAATCTGATCCCTCATCTACATATGCCTATTTGTTTTCCTCTACAGCACACATGCACAGATTCTGTTAACATTACGGAAAGATGTGTGTGCATAATGAGAAGAGAGCACCCCCTGTAATATCCACTTTTTTAGCACTGCTTTTGTCAAAGAAGTGACTCTTTTTCTTTGGTTTCCCCCTATACCAGCATCCTTGTTGTGGCAGAGGCTGATCCTGTTTGAGAATATTGTTAATACAATCAATCTTTCACTTTTCAGGGGGGGAAAACGCTGAATTTTAAATTTTCCATTTTACAAGTGAAGAATTGGGAACTGGGCCTGATCCAAAGCCCACTGAGGTTAATGGGAGTCTTTCTATTGACTTCACTGGACTTTGGGTCGCACCAATATGAGTAAAACTAAAATCTTTTTGGTAGAGTCTGCCTTACTAGTACATTTCAGGGACTGCTTCTGCTCCCGTTGATTTTAATGGCAAAACTCCAGTTGACTTCCGTGGGAGTACGATTGGACCCTTAATGTGGAGTGAAATATATTTGATATATTGTTCATACCCTTCCTTCCTTGAAATAACCTGAAAAAATACAACCACTAGTGAAGTGGTTTGGATGTGTGTTTTCAAATGCGTTGTACTGTGTTACCCGTGAACTCCTGCGGAGTCTTCATTCTGTCAGAAGTTTACCTTCATAGTAACAGAAGTGGCATGATCAATGAATCCTTTATTACATGCGTGGGGCACAACTCCATTTCACCTAAGGGAGGAGGGTATGCAGAGGAGCTCTGCACCTTCGCTGTCATTTGGGACGGATTCAGTGTTACAAACCTCTGCTTAATTCTCCTGCCCAAAGCCAGTTTACTCAGGTTTTGTGCAGGGGAGAGGGAAGATTTAACCTTTAATGACTTTGACAATTACTTTTCCAGGCTTCTGGCTCCCTGATGGTCTTATACATGTATTTGTTCAAGGAACACTGCTTTTCTAATTGCATGAGAGCTAACAAGAACAAATAGCAAGGGAATCTGAAAACTTTCTTTAAAAATCATCAGCAAAAAATGTTGCTGTTCAATAAAAGTTTCATGTTGGCTTTAATTTAGCTGACGTGATAATGGACACACTCCATTTCAATTGATTGTCTTGCTTTTTATGCTTGCGTTTGGTGCTAATGCTAATATAGGACTTGTCTTTGATGATTCGGTAGGGCAAAAGTCTAGTTAATTCTATACATTAGCTTCCTATTTTGAATGTCTGCTTAGGCTCCAGAGCCAGGTCAGCAGCTGGTGTAAATTGGTATAGGTCTGTGAGCTTCATCATAGCTGTGGTGAATGACACCAGTGAGAATTGGACTCAACATATCTGAGATACAGCAACAAACTGGACTTTGTTGTTCTGCATATAAAAACGCATGCAGTGTGTTTTAATATGCCAACAAACCAGACTTGGTAGACTATGGGTGCTGGCAGACTGTGTGCTGCCGTTCATCCAAGAAGTGCTCCATTAGGTTCCTAATGCATTCCTTGGCATAGACTATTGCTGTTAGAATGCGATTCTTTACTTTTACGTTGAACGTGTCTATGCATCGTCCAGGATAGCTTCTTTGCATGGAGGAGCCCTTCCCTGCTCCTCATTAGGGCTTTGCCTTCTCAGCAAAATAGGTATATTTTTTACATTGAGGTCACTATCTTGATGTAAAATCTGAGTGGAGACAAGACACAGATAGTTTTACCTAAGGATAGCTAACTGAAATCAACCATATACCTCTCCCCCGCACTCAGCTAACTAAGATTGACCTTGCCTAGCTACGTTGAGGTAAAAACTACAGTACCTTTGATTCACCAGGATTTTAAAAACACACCGTTTTTGCAAGGAAGACAGAGCTCCAAAGGGTACGTCGACACAGGGCTAAAAGACCAATGGCACAGCCATATCTCGCAGGGTTCAGGGTCCAGGCCTAAAAATTACTGTGTAGCCATTCAGGCTCGGACTGGAGCCCAAGCCCTGGGGCCCTCCACCCTTAGTGTCCTAGAGCGTGCACTCCAGTCTGAGTCCAAACATCTACACAGCAATTTTTCAGCCCTGGATGCTGAGCCATGCAAGCTTGAGTCAACTGACCCAGGCCAACTGTGGGGGGTTTTAATCCCTGTGTAGACTTACTCTAAGTCTTGCTTGAAGATCTGTTGTGAGGTCTATAGAAAATGGGCTACCTGATAATGACATGCTAGAGGATCCATTTGGGAATAGTTAACATAATCTCCTATAGGTAGTGCCGAGCCCCTTACCCAGCTATCTATCTGTCTGTCTTTAGATTGTCCATTCCTTGGGGACTTCTTTTCATTGTTGGTGCTACTGGAAATAAATAATAATTATGTAAAAACTCAATTTGTGGGGATAGTGAGGAAGGAGAATTCAGGCACTGTATCCTTCCACCAGTTCCTATTAGACAGAGAAAACAAGGAGACAGTTATAAACACTTTTCCGCTGCAATTTTGAATATATTCCTTGTTTGTTAATTTTTTTAAATCCTCATTTCATTTTTTTAAAAAGAGTTCTTTAGTCATTGATACCTCCCTGATCCCGGATGGGTGAATCTAAGCCAATTAAAGATATTAAACCCTTCCTTTTTTAACTTTGACAGCAGTAAATTATTTCAAAGCAGCTCCTCAAACTGTGGTTGAAAAGGCATCTTAGTGCTTTGAGGGTTGGGCAGTTTAAAACTGTCACTTTTCTCCTCCTGACCTTCCCTCCCTCTCTCCTCTCACCATATGCCTGCAGCCATCCTGAGCAATGAAGGAGTATATAATAGTGGTGAACTGCCTGGATACCCATAACCTGTTCATTTCCAGGCCTGAACATTTGGGGGTGGGAGGTTCTGACTATGTAGGTTTTATGTTGAGAGCATCTTTTTTTTTTATTGGGGATAGTGTGCGCAATTTGGACTCCACTGAAACACACCTTTCCACATTAACTCTTGCTAGCAAAGTGTTTTTGTTTGTGTTTGTTACTCTGTTAGGCTACCGTACACACAGTTAGGATACTATATTGGTGCTTTAGTATATCAATTATATGCTTTAACCCAACGTTAGCAAAAACAGAAAATTTGGAAAATCATTTCATCTTCGTAGCTTCGGGACACACCAAATGTATAAAGAAGGGAATGGTGGGCAAAGCAAAATGATCAATAATCCAATACAAAAACTTTCAGCAAAATACAAAGTTTCTGCTGAAAGACAATATATCCTCAACTTACATGCAGAAAGCTCTTTTCTCCATAACGGCTCATTTCTTACCCAAGGGAGGTTCTGCCCCTGATGAAACCATGCTTCCTACCTGCGCCAGGAATGGGAGCAAAACTTAATATATTGCCTTCATTTTAAGTATATTGCCGTCAGGCACCATAGGAACAACGACTGTCAGAATTCAACTACAAACCTGGATGTGTCCTTTAGATGTCTCCTCAGACTCTAGAGCCAGACCTTCAGCTGGTGTAAATCAGCATAGGTCCACAGACTTCCTCAGAGCTGTTCTGATGTGTCCCAGTGAGAACTGAACTCAACATGTCTCTTTGAGATACAGCAACAAACCTGATTTTATTGTTCTGCATATAAAAACCCCATACAGTTTGTTTCAATATGTCAGTAAACCAGACTTGGTAGGCTGTGGGTGCTGGCAGACTGTCAAAGGGTCGATCAGCAAGCTTGTTTGTAAACATCTGAAACGGACCTCTGAATCCCCACAGCAGAGCAGAAATTTTATCCCCCCGCCCCCCCCCCTTTTTTTTAAACGTAAGGCCTTGTCTACATGGCAAGTGAGTGCGCAGCAGCCATGGTGTGAATCTACAGCGCTTTAGCCTGCTGCACACTAACTTGTTGTGTGGATCCTGCTATCGCACACAACAAGTTCTGTACCTCAAAGCACGCTATGAAATTTTGTAGGAGAGTCCATGCAGTGAATTAGTGCACAGCAAGCTAGTATGCTCTAGATTCATATTCTGGCTTGCACTACACTAACGCACCATGTAGGCAAGCCATACGTTTGTTACTGGTGAGAGGTGCTGGTTTGACACACTTATTTACATACAGAACAGATACAACGTTGGCAATGGTATTGCAGACTTCCACACAGTATCTAGTCAATCTGTTTCAACCCTCATGTGAGGGACTACCCAGGTGAAAGGATAGTTCAACCACCTGGACCACTGTCTTCTCTTCTTTGCTGAGATTGCTAACACAGATACCATTTAATGCCCTACAAATCTAACTTTAAAATATCAGAGTCTGTTTCAGATATAAGCACATTAAACACCTTAAGGCCATAAAAATGAAATCATGCTTAATCCTAAGAGTTCTTACTTGAGCACAAACAAGCATTAGCCAGCTAAAGATTGCCAGTTTAACATGGTATGTAGTCAGTGAAGCTTGGCTAGCTAGTATTTGAAGTACCTAGTAGAGTACAAATAGCAGTTTGTGTACAACAGCCATTCCCCCCAGCTACAGGAGCCTAGAATGGACAGTTTAGTAAGATGATGTAGAAACTTAAAATAGCATGCTGGTCTTAAAGTATGAAGGTAATTCCATGTGGCTAGTGTAGTTTGTTTTACACAATACTATAATTTATTCCTTACACAGGACACTGATTTAAATTTAAGTTTTAGAATCGATATACAATTTAAAAATATTATGGATGAAATCCTGGACCTATCAAAGTTTTGCCAATGATTTTAATGGGACCAGGTTTTCATCCTGTAGCTTCAAATAGTACAGCAATGCCACACTTTTAAATAGCATACTGTAACCTGTCTTGAAAATTGCACTTAGAATGTACCTTTTGACTTCAGCAGAATATGTTAACTTCTCGCTGAAACATGCCCTGCTATGTACTTTACATTCAGGACTTCAGCTTACCTTCACCAAAGTGCATGAATAATTCTTGGAAGAATCAAGGCCATAATTGCAGAAAACTATGGTCTGTTTATCCGGTGCTTCAAATAAAAAAAAAAGCTATAATCTTTTTTCTTAAAGTAAAAAATCCCCAATTAGTAATTGCAGCTACAAATTATAATATTTTCTATGAGATGCTGGCAGGTAAAACATGAGGCCTTGAAAACTTTGAAATCATTAAGGGGCTCTCATTTTCCCCTGCTCAGCATGATATTGCTTTAGATATTTCAGGACTAATTAATGTAAAATGCTGATGTTTTGCAAGTGATACTAAACAGCAGCACAAATTCTATAAAACATCCTGCATATTTGCTGTACGTGTTTGCAGTTCTGTAAGGCAACTAACGTCAGAAAATCATTGTCTCTAATGTCACCCGAAACTTGACACTTGGGAGCAAAAAAAGTAGAAAATGGCCTTTCTCAGTGGGTTCAGTTGTGTATATTTTTTTACAATTTGGAGTTCCAGTGTTGACATCAGTAAGATTACTCAGAGTAGGAAACTCCTTGATAGTAAGTGTTTGCAGGATCACACTCTTGGTGTAGAATGTTTAACATTCTAATGTTCTAATTCTAATGTTCTAATTCTAATATTCTTTCTCACTCTTCCACAACCAGGACAGTGATGTCGAGGCAATGGTCAGGTATTTGGAGAACGTCCTGAATAACAGCTCTCTAGGTGAGATGATGTCTCTTCTCCAGAACTAATAGTAATATTTACTAAAATCTTCTGCCCTCTTTATGGTCTGCACTCCACTCACTCCCTTTTCAATCCAACTGCTTTAAGGTAGTTTTATAAAAAGTGGCCTTCTTTAAAATTGCCTCCTTTGTCAACTCCACGAAGCATCAAATGCAACCGCGTGTAAAGATGACATTGTTTTGCTAGCATGTTGTGAAATGGACAGAAAGCATTATGGATAGTAGTAAACTGAAGCATATACTGGTAGTGTCCATAAGAAAAGATTTTGAAAACTAGATATCAGAAGACTTTCTCCTCCAAAGAAAAAAATCTTTAAACCTGTCATACGTAAAGAAGCAGATTGTTTTCACTTAGGCCAAAAGGAGAGTGACCGTGGAGTTCAGTTGCATAGTGCAAGTTGTTAGGCATTAAAAAGTCTGGTTGAAGTGTCTTATTGCTATCATTTTCTTAGAGTGGAGAAAAGATTTTGCTGCTTTAGGGATAAAACCCTGCTTTAACATTTATTTTTAGAATGGACCAGCTCTGAGTCTGCTAAAGCTAATTAGCAATTTATCACAAGGTAAGAGAGAGGCCACCTAGGAGAAATATTGTGTCACGTTGCCCAGATGAAAAATACTGCAATCGTGTATTTGTGACTGCAAGAAAAAGAAAAGAAAAATAACATGTTGTTTCAAGTTACAGTATTTATGAGCTTCATGACATTACATGTGATTGGATATTTTCTTCCATTCCTCCTCCCTCATCAGTGATCTCAGCATGGTCAAGTGAATAAAATACAGATCTTGGTGTTTAGAGGCTAGTGTTCTATTCCTGGCTCTGCCATTGATTTGCAGTGAGACCTTGGGCAAGTCCCTTTATCTTTGTGTCTCACTTTCTGCAGCTGTAAAATGGGAATAAAAAGACTTATCTTTGTATAGGACTTCACAATTTTCAGATAAAAAGTGCAATATAGCTGTTTAGTCTTATGCTAATTGTGCTTAACAATAAAATAAGTGGGGCTATGTGCAATCAAAAATTGACTAAGACAAAATGTGGTAATTTGCTTTATTATATCACATGAAAAGGATTTATTTTTATAATATTCTTTACTAGAATTCTATAGATATGTCATAGATATTAGCACATATTATAATGATAGAAAAGGCAATTAAAGTTGTCTTTTTTAATTCACCCAGGATTGGAAAGAAAACAATATTTTCTTTAATATACAGTGTCTCACTCTTGGCAGATATGTAATAACAATTGATTCCTAAGTTTGCAAGATTTTAGCCCAAAAGTCCCTTTTTCAAATCCTAGTTATGAATTTTCAATTTCTTAGGAGTTAAAAGTAAAGCTTAAATGAGGGAAGAATATTAGGTTGAGATTGGCACTGTCACTATCCTAAAGAACACAGGATGTTAATTAATTTTGTTGGAGTTCCATATTGTTCCACAATTTTCCACATTGTTTCTCTGTTTACACTATCGAATGCCTTTTGAAAGTCCACAAAATTGATGGCAAGACTGCCTTGGAATTCAATTGTGTTTTCAATAATCCGTCTCACTGTGAAAATAGCATCTGTGCACAGTCTTCCTTGTCTAAATCCAGATTGTTGTTCATGTAGGATGATATCCATCTTTCTTTTCATTCTGTTCCAAAGCACTGCTGCTAATACTTTTCCTGTGACAGATAGAAGTGTTACTCCCCTCCAATTTGAACAATTGTCTAGATCACCTTTCTTTGGTAACTTGATTATGATACCGAGGGTCCACTCTTCCGGCACTTTCTCCTCCGTCCATATTTTGTTGCACAGCGAACAGGGGTACTATATATCCCTGACTAAATCTTAGTGGGGAGCTAAGGCGGGGGGTGTTGCTCTGAGGGGGGGGGGCTGGGAGCCACTGATGGAGGGGGGCAGGGGCCAGGGGCACCAGCTGCTGGGGGGACCACCAAGGTCAGCAGCCTCAACTGCCGGAGCCACCGAGCAGCAGCTACTCCGGCCGCCCCCGGGGCCACCCAACTGCCGCTGCTCCCACTGCCCCGAGACCGCTGCTCAGGTGGTTCCCGTGGCGAGTTGCACCGGCCACTGCTTGGGAAGTTCCTGGGGTCAGCTGTCCAGGGCCGCCCAAGCAGTGGCTGGTGCTGCTGGCCCCGGGGCCACACCAGCAATGCCAGTGCAGCTGGCTGCAGGGCTGCCCAAGTGGCTGGCTGCAGAGCCGCTCCAGCAGCAGCCGGTGTGGCTGTCCATGGGGATGCCTGAGCAGCTGGTCCCCGGGGCTGGCTGGTTGGGTGGCTCTGGGCTCAGTCACACTGGCTGCTGCAGAAGTCATAGAGGTTGCAGAAAATCATGGAATCCATGACTTCTGCAACCTCCGTGACAGACACAGAGCCCTAGTCATTAGAAATGAGAACCTCACATTTCATTTGGATTTTTTGTCATGCTTTTCATTTGGGATTTATAATGGGATTAAGTTGAACTATTTCAGGAAGATTTTAAAACAAAAATATAAAATTTTCTCTGGCATTTTTTTTGCCTGAGGTACCATTCCTTATATTGCAGTTTCCTGTATTACATATTGTAACACATAAATAAAGCATTTCACTGAAGTTAGAAGGTGGGATGCAAAAAATCAGTATTGACTTCAGTAAGATCTCTGATGCTCTTAGCAGTTACAAAGTACCATATTTGTCAAGAGTGTCCAGAAGTATGCTGGCAAGTATTCATACCAGAGTAAATATATTTATCTTTTACTGTATATCACTGACAAAATAATTAGATGTGGGATCCATGGCCTCCACTTTTCTCACCACCATTTTCGTTCTGTGAATTCTCTTCATTTGAATGTGGTCCCAGACTCCGTATGACTTTCGCAAAGCAGAATGCCCAATTCACACCGTCACCCGGTAACTTGCGCACGGCATGGCATTTACAGAGTTGGCATGAATTTAATTAAATTTACAATAACCATGTGAAATTAAAGAGCTGTTCTAAAGTGCTATGAATTGTACAGAAATACTGGGAACTGATGCAGATTTTGTGCTGGTCAGAATCTACCAGGACATTTCCATTTTTAAAGCGATCATGAAGCAAAATTTTGCAGTTTCACATGGCTCTTAGTGGAGGTCTAGCTAGCATATACCTTCTTAAATCAATAGAGGCAATGTTACTGATGATGCATTAAATATGCAATCTATTTTTCAGAGTATAAGTGGCTGTGACTAGAGTTTTTTCAGTGTAAAAACTCACAGTTTGAGTTTCAAAGAATGAAATTCTGATCCTTTTAAAGTCCAATTGACTTCACTGGGAATAAAGGGTTTTTTACTGGGTCAATATGATCATACTAACAATTCGGTATATTCCATTATTCATTTTGGGTTGCCTGTACAGCTGCGTACAGGGTAAGTTTTGCGTCAGACAGGACAGGAATGGAATCCTCTCTCCATGCTGTTTAAAAAAAAAAGGTAAAAAATTGAGGAGGTCTCAGAAGAAAGCCACAAGAATGAATTAAAGTTTGGAAATGAAAGACCTAAAGAGTTCAATCTGTTTAGCTTATAGAAGGAGAAGGTTAGAGGCAATTTGATCTCTTTGTATTAGTAGCTGAATAGGGCAAAGATATTTGATACTGGAGGGCTCTTTAATCTAGCAGGTAAGAGTATAACAAAATCCAGTGGCTGGAAGTTGAAGCTAGAAAAATTCAAACTGAAAATAAGATGCAAATTTTTCAGTGAGGGTAATTAGCCATTGGGACAAGTTATTGAAAGATGTGATAGATTCTCTATCACATGAAGTCTTTAAGATTGGCTGTCTACAAGATATGCTCTAGCTCAGCCACAAATTATTGGGCTGGAGGGAGGAATCACTGTGTGAACTTCTCTGGCCCATGTTATGAAAGAGCTGATCGCAATTGCTCCTTCTGGCCTTAAAATCTGTGAATAGATGTGGACCACAGGATCTGTTGCTATGGAGATCCTCCAGTCCTTCTCCTCCATCCGATGGAGCGGGGTGGGGGAGAGGGGGGATGCTGGGGCCATAGAGGCTGCTGCTTGGTTACTTGAGGGCAGGGGGTCTTCCCCCATTTTCCTTCTCCAGATGTCCCCAGCAACCAGACTAGCTATCTGGGCTGGATGCTGGGGAGGTCATTTCCCCCTAAAATAAACTTAGAAAGCTGTCATCTTATAGTTTTGAAATGTCTGTGCTCTGAATGGTTTATTTTAAATTATCTGAAGAATCAATAGAGATTTCATTGTGTTAAATAAGTGTGCAACAATAGTTATTTGGCCACTATCTAAAGGAGAATAACCATTCACTTAATGAGCGACAAAGAGTCCTGTGACACCTTATAGACTACTAGATGTCTTGTTAGTCTATAAGGTGCCACAGGACTCTTTGTCGCTTTTTACAGATCCAGACTAACACGGCAACCCCTCTGATACTTGACATTCATTTAATGCTGATTTATGGGTGGATTACTCCTGGGGGAATTCTGCGCCACTGCACATGCGCAGAATTTATGTCCCCCACAGATTTCTTTGCTTCCCCACAGAAAAATGACTTTCTGATGGGAAAGCAAAAGGAATCCACAAGAGCGGTCATGTGCCTCTCCCGAGCAGAATGTTTCAGGTGCCCAGGCAGCTGGCAAGAGGTAAATCACTGTGGGGCAGGGAGGAGGACTGGGGAAGACCCGGCTGGTGGTTCCTACCCTGTGCTGGGCTCAGCTGCCAGCCTTGGCTGGGCTGGGGAGGACGGGACTTCCTCTTCCCCTGTATGGCATCCGGGGCTGGGACAGACCCACCTCTAGATTTCTCCCCCGACTGTAGGAAGCTCTACAAACTCTCCCCTCCCCATGCTTCCTGCACCCATCATTCCTCAGCTACAGGCATAGAGATCACTGTAGAGGGAGCTGCTCCCCCATCCACCCAACCCCTGTGCATTCAGACCCCCTCATACCAGACCTTCATGCCAAGCATCATGTCCCCCTCACACCCAGGACCCTCCCAGT